GCCGAACTGTTATCAGTGGAAGCTACTGGCTCCACTGCTGCTGGAGCTGGTACGTGAGGTACTCCAGTGTATGGGTTCTTCAGCGATAGTGGCGTCGCCCCAGCCGGCGGTGCTGGCGCTTCTGGAGGAAGAGGTGCAGGTGCTGGAGCTTGAGCTGATCCCGGTAGTGGAGGCCGTCCAACAATCGCTCGGTTAGGCTCTTGAGTGTCTTTGAACCTGCAGCCCTCTGTCCGAGTGTGGACCGGCGTAACTCGCATATCAGTGCCAGGATAGCGAGCTCCATGCTTGCACCGATCGCAAGTCCAGAAGACCATCAACGATAGACAACCTTCTTTGCCGTGCGTAAACTGCCATACATCAGCGCCAATCGCTGTGCAAAGATTCCAGGGATATACTGCTGCCGTAGCTGTCCTCCAGGTACTGGTTCCTGGAATCTTCCCAGATAACTCTCCATGAAGAGGGCACTTGTTCTCGCCAGTGCATCGCAATAAGGTGGACTGGCTGATCTCGATATTCGCGTAGTCCAGGATGGTCGTCTTCTTGTTGGGCAGGCCTCGGCTGTCGATGTCCTTGGCTCCATGTTGACACTGATCAAGTATCGCCGAGGTGGTCTGCTTGTCATTATGAATTGACGCGAACGGGCTCTCCGTGAGCAACTGTGACCCGTGAGGTGTCTCCAAGATGAAGGCTCGGGTCTTCTGCTTGGACTCGAGAACTTGTCTGCAGCGATACGTTGTCCACTGAAGGCCTGCTCGCTCTTCTTGTCGTGCTCGTGCTTTGGTTTCTGCTTTAGACGTAGTGTTGGCTTTTGACCAAGGAGAACATCTTGGGGAAAAGAACTGTACTGAGATCCCCAGATTGTCGTGTATCTCATCCAGGATATGTTGATGATCTCGTAGGCCTGTATCCCAGCCATACCTATGGTCAACTGGAAATCCTGCATTGAGTCGCAGATGAAGAGCTGCCAACGAAAGTCGTGATGATCCTGAGCAGATCTCCTGAATGTCTAGTCTGTGACCTAGCTCGTTGACCTCCATGGCCGGCGTGACGTGGTGCAGCCACTGGAGTGCATTCAGCGGGGTCACCACTGGAAGAGAACTGCCATTGTAGAAATCCTCTGGCATGCACGTGTAGTACTTCTCAGCATCTGTCTTGCGCTTTGAGTTCCAGTGTTGAGGCCAAATGCCAACTGAATATTTCTGACCAGGAAACTCCATCCATGCTTTGTAGAAGCCATTCTGAGGTATTCCTTTCCAGACAGGATGCTGACCTTGAGGAGGTACTGGTACTGCGTGCGTAGCTCCATACGTCGGAGATGATCTGCTGCTTTCCGTTGGTGTCGGTATCGATCTCGTCGGTGGTGTCGGTAGTGCCAAAGCTGCCATCGATGCTGATGATGCTGTCGTTGTTGGCATGACCGGAGGCTCACGAACTGGTACTGGTGCCAGTTGCCGTGCGATGTTGATCTTGTGCAATCCTGTGGTTGTGATCTCCTCGTCGATGTCTGAAGAGTTCTCAGGACCACTTTCACCCTCTGAGCCTGACGCTCGTACTGCTAACGTCAGGGAGCCAGCGTCCATGCCAACTGAACCTTTCCGCTTCTTATGATGGCTGCTGGTCGAAGTGCGCATGACCTCGTTGAAATATTGTACTACCGTCTTCCTCAGCTTCTTCTGGTCTAACCACGATGCTTGTTTGAAATCACCTGTCGGAAGCAAGTAATGACAAGAGCCGGTTAGATAAAGCCTGATGAAGAAGGTCTGAGGTATTGCTGTCGTATGAGGGCCTCCAGAACCCACAACTTTGATAATCATGATACCGTCGCCTCCCTGCAATACTCCACAAAGAATCGAAGATTGGAGGCGAAGCAGCACGCTTAGTGGGAGAAGCCCCGGGCACTTCGAGCCCAGGTCACCAAGCAGGTCCAGGTCAATCGTGACCTCCGCGATGCCAGGAAGTGGAATGCCGAGAGGTGTCTCAGCCAAACCTTTGCTTTTCTCCTGTCGGCCACCAATTCCAGTAAAGCGGCTCTCTGAAGGCTTGACCTCGATCACCTTTCCGTATTTAGACAAGATGTCGGTGATGTACTCCTTCATGGTGTCCGTGCCCATGATCGCCTTGGCCGCGCCCGTGTCGACGAGCATGCCGTGCATTGGTCGTCCACGAACCAGATGAAAGTTCATGTTGGTCATATTGTTGATGATGCGCGGCTTGTTCTGCCATTGATGCTGGATCATCTGGCTGTCGGGTATCATCACCTGTTCGTGAGACGCAAAGATCGAAAACAGCGATGCCGTAAACAATGCTGTCCGAGCCAATGCACTTCCTGAGCGTGTCGTACGTGTCGATGCTGTCACTGACGATCTGGATTCCTGGGCCTCCAGGTCGTCCGGGTCGTCGATGCCGAGCTCCTGCATCCGTTGGCGACGTGCCAGCAAACTGTCGAAGTTGAACTCTGGGAGCAGCCGGGATGCCGCGCTCGCTGATCCAGGAGTTGATGATGAAGCTGCTGCTGCCGCTGGTGCCGAACTTCTCGCGGGTGACAAGTAATCAGGAGGCACCAGGCCTTGCCATGACGGCTGCTGTGTGTTCTGTGGTGGAGTAGGCTCTCCGCTGCTCGTGCCAACGGTCTCCCAGCCATCGGGCGTCTCGAATGCTGCCCAAGATCCATTCGCAAAAGGATGTTGAGCTGGTGTGCCGTCGCCATACTCATACCATGTGTCTCCTGTTGACTGTTGACACATACCATAAACTCCATCGCCTTCATACCACGAGGTGATGTCGCCGTCGTCCTCGTCGTAGTGGTATTCGTGATCAACATCGGCTGGGCCGTCTTCAAGAAGAAAGGTGCCACCACTGCGATAGCGATAACCTTTGCCTTTGTTTCGTCCACTGCGAAAGCCCTTGGAGTTGTTCTTGCCTTTTCGATAACCTTTTGAGCTTGATGATCTGCCTTTGCTTTTACCTTTCCGATAGTTTCCTTTCTTGCCGCCGCTGTTGCCGTAGTTCGTCATGTACTTGCCTTTGCCTTTGCTCTTGCTGCTGCTGCTGCTTTTACCTTTGCTTGAAGAACCTTGATGATCATGGCTTGCTGAAGAGCCTCCAGGTAGTGGGCAATCTGAACTTGAATGCCATTTTGATCCACATTTGGTACAGCCGTCTTTACGTCGGTTGCTGTTGCCCTTGCCCCAGAACTCGCCTGTCTCCGAAGAAGAATGGTGTTGATGTGGCTGATCTTGTGGATATTCTCCTTCTTGCCAGTCCTGGTCGCCCCAGTAGGTCTCTTCTTGCCAAGTATCATCTTCGTTCCACTGCCATTCAGATTCGTCATAGGAATCGCCATACCATGTGTCTTGCCACGAACTGCCGTGATATACTCCTGCCATGTCGTGCAAAGTTGAAGACTTCGCCGCATCATGATCTCCAAACATTCGCGTGCAAAGACGCCTGATATCATGATATCGTGAAAGATCTCCGTCAACTCGGAGACGTAGGTCAAAGTGTTGCCGTTCGGAGAGCTGAGCGCCACGAAGAAGAAAGTAAGTCTTGCCTATGTCGTTCATCTGTAAGCCGCACTGCGCTTCCGCATCTGAGAGGGCTAAATCATATAGTGCCAAGAAATCTCCAAACTTGCTGTTGCCACGAAAGAGCTCGAAGAACGCTGTAAGAACTTCCCACTGGAGATCTTGTCTGTCGGTCGTGTACTCCTCAAGGATGCGCTGTATCAAGAACTTGGCGCCGCTCATCTGTTCGGGAATCATGTTGATGCCAACTTGCTGTGCGTCATTTGCTGGTTCTGCGAAGAGTTCAGGAGCTTCAATCATAATCTGCTGTCCAGTAACCAAGCTCCACCGTTGAGCTCGCAAACTCATCGCAAATTGGAAAACCTGTCCGCGAAGTCGTCCACATATTGCTGGGCCCCACTGTTCTTCGTTCAGGTCGGTCTGGAGCCACCATAGCTTGAGGAGCTGAGCATACCTCCGTATCGGGTATCGCTTGATTCCAGTCACCCAACCGGGTGGAGTGCTTCTCGTGAAAGAGTCCAAGGGTAATCTCGAATTGTCTGCGCCACTGACGTTTGCAGCGGCTCCGTCCATGATGAAGAGGTCGTAGTTGACTGCGTACAAAACTGGCGCGGCGAGACCGGTGTTCAGGTCGTAGTAGACGTCGGGATGGGTGTAGATCGTAGCAGCCCAGCCTTCTGCCTCCACGAGCTCGGTGACGCCGTCGCTCCAACCAGCAAGACTCCAAAGCCAGGCCCCAAGGAGCGGGACAAGACCAAGGCACGCTATGGCTGGCCGGGCAGGATATGGAAGAGGAAGTTTTACCGTGAAATTGGATCGCATATGTCGCGCTACCAAACTCGACTTTTCAGTCCTTGAGCCGAGGTGTTGTACAGCACACATCCTCTGCTCTACTTCTCTCTATCATCATTTCACATCGCTACTACGACCCTGTCTCTCTCACATGTCGATGTTCTGGATATTCAGAGTCCCTCCTCCTCCTCCTCCTCCTCCTCCTCCTCCTCCTTCTCCTCATCCTCCTGGCCCTACTCCGTCTCCCCCTCCTCCTTCTTCCCCCCCTCCCTCTCCTCCTCCTCTTCCCCCTCCTCCTCCTCCTCCTTCTCCTCGTCTTCCTCCTCATCCTCCTCCTCGTCTTCCTCCTCCTCCTCCTCCTCCTCCTCCTCCTCCTCCTTTTCCTCCTCCTCATCTTCCCTGCCCCTCCCTCCTCCTCCTCCTCCTCCTCTCCTCCTCCTCCTCCTCCTCCTCCTTGTCCTCCCCCTCTTTCTCCTCCATCCTCCTCCTCCTCCTCCTCCTCCTCCTCCTCCTCCTCCTCCTCCTCCTCCTCCTCCTCTCTCCTCCCCTCCTCCTCCCCCTCCTCTCCTCCTCCTCCTCCTCCTCCTCTCCTCCTCCTCCATCCATCCTCTCCATCCTCCTCCATCCCCTCCGTCCTCCTCCTCCTCCTCCTTCTCCTCCTCCTGCCTCCCCCTGCCTCCCGAGGGCGCGGCGGGGAGCTCCAGAAAGCGGCCCCCGCCTCCCGGCGCGCCTCCCAGGCGCCTCTTCGCGTTCTTAGGCCACGGCCCCAGCCCCGCGTCGGTCGCTGGCGGGCTGCGGCGGGCGCGAGAGGAGACGGCCGCGCCCCCTTCTTCTTTTTTCATTATTCCAATTTTTATTATTAGTATTATTATCATCATCATTATTATTATCATTATTATTTTTATTAGTATTAGTATTAGTATTAGTATTAGTATTAGTATTAGTAGTATTACTATTATTATTATTATTATTATTATTATTATTATTATTAAAATTATTATTATTATAATTATTATTAGTCTTCTTATTATTAGTCTTCTTCGTATTATTGTTCTTATTATTATTATTCCTCTTCCTCCTCCTCCTCCTCCTCCTCCTCCTCCTCCTCCTCCCCCTTCTTCTTCCTCCCCCTCCTTCTTCCCTCCTCCCCCTTTCTCCTCCTCCTCCTCCTCCTCCTCCTCCTCCTCCTCGGTCTCCTCCTCCTCCTCCTCCTCCTTCTCCTCCTCCTCCTCCGCCATCCTCCTCCTCCATCCTCCTCCCCCTCCATCCTCCTCCTCCTCCTCCTCCTCCATCCTCCTGCCTCCTGCCTCCTCTCCTCCCTCGTCGTCATCATCATCATCAGCAGCATCATCATCATCATCGCCATCATCATCATCTTCTTCATCATCACCACCACCACCATCAGCATCATCATCATCAGCATCATCATCATCATCATCATTCCTCCATCCTCCATCCTCCTCCATTTTCTCCTCCTCCTCCTCCTCGTTTCTCCTCCATCCTCCCTCCATCCTCCATCCTCCTCCTCCATCCTCCTCCTCCATCCTCCTCTCTCCTCCTCCCCTCCTCCTCCTCTTCCTCCTCCCTCCTCCTCCTCCCCTCCTCCTCCTCCATCCTTCATCCTTCATCCTCCCTCCCTCTCCTCCTCCATCCTCCACCCTTCTCCTCCTTCTCCTCCTCCTTCTCTCCTTCTCCTCCTGCTCCTCCTCCCATTGCGCCTCTCCTCTCCCTCTCCTCCTCCTCCTCCTCCTCCTCCCCCTCCCTCCCTCCCTCCCTCCCTCCCTTCCCTCCCTCCCTCCCTCCCTTTCTCCCCTCCCTCCCTCCCTCCCTCCCTCCCTCCCTCCCTCCCCCCCTCCTCCCCTTCTCCTCCTCCTCCTCCTCCTCCTCCTCCTCCTCCTCCTCCTCCTCCTCCTCCTCCTCCTCCTCCTCCCCCCGCTGGCCGCGGGTCTGGCGCCCCCGCCAGCTCTCAGGGGGCTGCCATGAGCAATGGTCCTCAAAGCCCGCCACCTGTACGCAATGGCCGGCCCCCCTTTGGAGACCGGCGTGCGCACGAGTTCATACAACCAGAAGAAAGGGGAGAGGAAGGCAGCAGCAGGAGGAGGAGGAGGAGGAAGGAGGAGGGGACAGTCGCGCAAAAAGCGTAGTAGCAGGGGCGGCCCGGCAGGGGAAGGGGAGGGAGGGGGAAGGGAGAGGGGGACGGGGGCTGGTCAGAGCTACCGCCCAGCACTGTGCCCATGGTAAGCCTAGGACGCTGGAGCGCTACAGAGCCTCAGTGTGAGAGAGGCGCGCATAACAACATGATCGTCGATCGATCACCTGCGAGTAAGCGCCAACGAAAACACCCATTTGCCAGCAGCGACCTCTATGGGCAAACCCTCATGGCAACCTTGTGTCAATACCGTCGTCGGTACCCCTCCTCTAGGTGGCGTCGGTTACTCTGGCTCCTCCTGCTGTTGGGTGAACCCTGGAGCAGTGTTGGAGTGGATGATCGACGACGGCGCTGAAAATGTGAAGAGGACTCTTAGAGCGAAGAACATTGTGCGTTCGAAAAGGCGTCATGTCTCCCCGATCCTTCCACGGGTCTTTCCCTGTTGCGGTCTGCACGCATGGGCGCAAACGAGGCCAGAAAGGAGTTCAATGATTGATCCAACTCAGACATCCCATGTCTTGTTCTTTTCTTTTCAAGAGTGGGTCCCCGGGAGTCCCGACCCTTTCCCCTCGGCCCGTTTCTTCATCCCGAGTCGTTCTTCGACCGTCCTGGGGCCTGGCCAGGGCTCCTGGAGGCCAGAAACGGCCAACCGCCTCTCGTCGTGATTCTTGATCATGTCGCGTGCATGTCTGGGACGGTTCCTCCTGGCCAAGCCCCCGCTTGCGGCCGTGAGGGCTCGAGGCGCGGGTCGCCCTACACGTCGGTCGTTGAGCGCAGGTATTGGGGGATCCCCTGATCCCAGTCTACTCCAAGTGCCTTCTACTTCAAGAGCCGATCCGCTTCTGCTGTGTTTTGTCATCCTGAAAGTGCCTGAACCCAATATACTTCAGCCGTATACTTCAGCCGCTTTCCTACTTCATGCTTTAACCCGCTACTTCCGACCGGCGTGCAGGCCGACTTGCATCAGGGATGATAAGTCTGGGCGGCTTGGTCTGATACATTTGCAGAGGTGAGACTCCCTATTTCTAATGTGTTCGGCCCTCCTAACTAAGGTCTCCTCTCAAAGGGTTATGTCTAAGGGTTATGTCGAAGGAGAAGAAACGCCATTCAGAAGGCCCTGAGCCCCTCTGGCGGCGCCTCCGGCGCCGCCCCTGGCGCGCTCCGCGCGCCAGGGAGGGGGCTCCAGCCCAGATCCCCAAAAATCCCAGCCGAACGCTGCAAGTCTATGTTTATGGTTTATGGCCCTCCTTCTCTTCTATTGCTTATCGCAGTCCCCGCCCTGCCCCGCGCAGCTGCCAGCGCCGCGCGCGCGCCCGCGGGGCGCATGGCGCCCGCGCGCGGGGCCGCCGCGCCGCGGAGGGCCGCGTGGCTGCCCGCCCTGGCGGCGGCGCGCGGGGCCGGGCGGCTCCCGGCGAGGAGCCTGCTGGAAGGCGGGCGCCGGGGCGAAGACTCCCGCCTCCTCTTCCTCCTCTTGCTCCTCCTTCTCCTCTTCCTCATCCTCATCCTTTTTCTTCCTTCTCCTCTTCTTCCTCATCCTTCTCCTATTCTTCCTCATCCTTTTTCTTCTCTTCCGCCTCCTCCTCCCCTTTTTCCTCCTCTTCCTCCTCTTCCTCCTCTTCCTCCTTTTCCCCTCCCTCTTCCTCGTCGCTCTCCTCCTCGCTCCAAGCCGCCCGTGGTCGGCCGCCGGTGGTCGACCAGACGTGAGAGTGACCCTTCGCTGGAGTTACGTCGGGCCTGTCCCTCTACAGGAGACATTCGAAAGTAGTAAACAAATGTCTGGGGACTGTTTCGTTTATAACCTTTTTGGAGCATTTTTAGAGTAGTGCTTGGGGTATTGCTCATTTTCCGTCCAAAGCGACGTGCGTTTTTTGTTCGGTGTGCGCGGGGGCCAGTCAATATTCACTTATTGTTCTGTTGCCGATGCGCCGTCCGGGCGCCTGGTTTGTATGTCTGTCTGTCTGTCCAAGATCCGCTTGTAGGGGACACGCCCAACCTAACGCTGGAGTGACCCTTGGTGCGGGCCCCATGGAGGTCCCCCAGATCGCCGGGCGCGATGCGATGGCAGCGTCTTGCGCGCTTGTTCGTTTGTTCCCCCCCATGGCCCCAAGAAGCCGTGGCCACCAGCTGTCACTTTTGCCTAGGGTCCCTCTTGCGCGCAGCCGAAGTTTGGGACGATCGAAGTCGGTACGGAAAAACGCAGACCCCCTCGAGCCAGGGACGATCGAAGTTCGAATCGGGGAACGACCACAGAGTTGACGCGCCCAGAGTTACATGTCCCCCAGAGCCCATGAGTGATGCGTACAGTGTGTGTGTGTGTAGATGGACAAACATTCGACGAATGTTCAGTGACTCGACGAGAAAACTACCAGCCACTGCCCGCGTCACCTCGTCGACCCTGGCTTCGATACCCTGGCCAGCCTATTGCAGGGTCACGAAGAACCTGCACAGCACCGAGTCGACTTGCTCGACCCCAACGACCACATTATGTCCACCGAGAGGGCCCGCTGTGCCTTCAGTATCATGCCGCCCATGAAACGCGAGCCACGGGCACACCTCTGGCCCTTCCCTGACCCTTCCGGGTCCGAAGACACCCTCGAGGCCATCCTGGGAGTCAGTTGCCCCTGGCAAAACGACCCACTTTCGCTACCAATTTGCGGCTTCAAGGGGTCTCACGCCCGCTGACCTCCGCCGGCTCCACGGCGGGCTCGAGTCTTTGATGCCCCTCGTGGGCAAATTCGTGGTCACCGCCCACCACCACCCCACCGCTAAGCAAGCGATCTGCCCCACTACCTATGCCGAGGTGGAGAAGTTCCCCTTTAAAGCTGAAGGCCCCGATGCTGGTCTTGGAGAAGATCGTGAAGCGTGCCAACCTGGGCATCCTATCTCGGTCAGAATGCACCATCTGCGTCCTGCACCCGGACCTCACAGGCAGCGACAACGGCCTAGGTCCCGATGACAGCCCCTCGGAGCTGACGTTCCTCAGCGGGGGCTTCTCGTTCGGACAGATCCCCCTGGACAGGGCGCTGCCTCTGGCTCCACTTCCCAGCGTGACCAAGACACCCTGTTACGTGGCCCCTGGCGACGCCCGATTCAGCCCCGCAGCCCCGACCGGAAGACGGCTAGGTATAAACGCGACCAATGCTACAAGGCCAACATCAGGCACACCGAGGGCACGTGGTTTAACGACACCATCCGCTCGTACTTGGCTCAGAACCGCTTGCAGGCGCACGCCAACGGGTTAGACTGCACATGGTTGTGCAGCCAATGCTGGGCGCAAGAGGTAGAGAGGCAGGGCCATCAAGTTTCCCCGGAGGGGCCCCTCCACGAGCAGGTACAAACCCTCACGCTTGCCAGGAATCCCCCCAGGCCCCCTCCCGTGGACGCCTTGCTCCGACCGCTTCCCCAGCATGCGCACCTGGCGCTGCCCCCCACCGCGCCCCCTGGTGCCCTCGAGGAATACTTGTTGGAGCCGACGGGCCTTCAGGTGCCAAGGAACGTTAACACCACCCCACCGCCTACCCGGCTGGAAGATGACAGGTTCGGCCACACAGCAGCAGAGTCCGGTCGCCAAATTGCCACGTGCGATCGATGCCCCCCCCCCCGGGACCCCTGTTCACGTCAGGCAGGCCGGAACCCCCGCGCTGGGCTGTTTCGTTTGGAAGGTTGGCATGGAGTCACGTCACGCAGGCGCCGGGGGTT